ACCCTAACCTAACCAAAAACCCTAATCTAACCCTAACCTTAACCTAACCCTAAACCCTAATCTAAGCCTAAACCCTAACCTTAGCCCTAAACCCTAATCTAACCCTAACCCTAACCTTAACCTAACAGTTAACCCTAACCTTAAGCCCAAACGCTAACCCTATGGACGAGTTTCTATACAATATGCATTATGAATTCAGAACTTCTGAGCCTTTATCAAACCTCAACAAGTTTTTGAATCATATGAAAAAAGAATATCCACTGTAATTCATTACTTTCTTGTAATATATTTTTACTTTATACTGTCTTCTGATTGGCTAATAATTGAAATTGCTCAAACGCTTCTCATTGGCTCGTCCCTAAATTAGAGTCTCGCCGTCCCATCTGTTTTAACCTCTCATTAATCACCTCCTCTCTAAAATCCGCTGTGAACCGACCGTATGTTAGCATCGCGTGTTGAACTTGGCTCCGTGACCTTGAAATTGCTCAAACGCTTCTGATTGGCTCGTCGCTAAATTAGAGTCTCGCCAAGGAAGTCTGTTATACCGGAACAATCCCTTTTGAGTGTTTATTGTCAAGTAATGCTTACACTCATCCGCTACCGGAATCTGTAGATAAGCGTCTGATAGGTCTAATTTCGCAAAATACTTACCCCATTCAGTTTCGCAAATAAATCCCCTGGTACTGGCAATGGGTATTGATGGGTTTCAAGTGCTTCATTTAATCCAGTCGAATAATCTGCACATAACCGGATACTTCCATTCGGCTTTTTGACAATCACTATTGATACTGCCCAATCAGAAAAGTTTACTGGCTTTATTATTCCACTTCTTTGCAGACGCTCTAATTCTTGTTCAACGATAGGCAACGCTGCATAGGGTACCGGACGTTTTGGTCTAAAGACGGGGGTGACTCCCGGTTTAAGAATCAGTAGTACTTTTGCCTTTTTGCACTCCCCCAGCTCTTCCGTAAACACTTGACTATGTCTTTCCAACACAACACCCTTCAGACCCTTTTCCACTGGTTTATTGGTTCTCGTGGCGTTGCATATGTGGTTAATGGAGTGATTTGCTAATTGTAGTGTTTCTATCAGGTCTAGACCCAGAAAATCTAGTGCTTGGTTCTCTGCGAGATATAGCGTTGCATCCGTCCTCGCGTTTCCTTTTGAAACTGTACAACAAACCTCTCCAAAAATATTTAATTTCCCTTCAGATGCACTATGAACTAACTGGATTGTTGGGAGCACCTGTGGTTTTCCGATAAGATTCTAGGTTCTTCGACTAATAAGTGTGATGTCGGAAGCAGTGTCAAGCTGCAGGCGTGCGCGCTTTTTATTTATATCTAAGTTTACATACTTTCGTTGGCGGTAAATTTGTGATCGATTATGTGATGCCAAAATTTTGTTAGTTAGAGCAGTATATCTCTATTTCTTGGAGTAGGGTTTCGAAGAATGTCGTTTATGGGTTCTCTTCCTGCAGCTCCTTCTGAGCCTTCTACAGCTTCCTCGAGTTCACCCGTGGTCCGTCGTCACATTGGCAGAATCTTGTCAGTTTCGTGAAGTTGGAACTGTTTATTAATCAAGCGAAAGCAAGTGTAATGTTCGTACAATACATGATCCAAAACTATATCCAGAGTTTGCACATACAATAGGAAGTTTATATTCATACTGTTGCAAATAATTATCAATACAATATGATGAATTCCATACATACTGCATTATTTTTGCGTAACAGGGTAATGGGACTGTCAGCGATGGGACTCCGTCAGGAAAAGCATGTTACATACATGTTGCAACATAAGTACCTCATGAATAACTTGCAATCACCCACTTCTATTTACCGTTCGATGAAGAAATGAGTTAGCACCAAACAGCTAGTATATATCCTTTATCTATGTTAATAATCATATGTATATGTAATAAGCGTCTAAGTTCTTCTGACTTTTGGAGTGAAAAATGTTTTTCCAAACTCATCCTATTAGCATACCTGCAGAAGTGAAGATGAAGAAAGGGTTGTTAGATTGCGAATAGCAAACAACTAAGAGCAAATAATAGACGCAGATTCTGATCTTTGACGTTAGAGCACAGATAAAAATCTTTGGTCAACGTTTTTTCCGATAATCAAGCAAATTGATGTCAAAACTACAGTCTTACTCGTGTATACCGAAACAAAATATAAGCGAAATAAGTTTACTGATGGTGGAAAATAACTGCTGTGTGATTTCTAAGTATTTCTGTAATACCTACTTTCACCTTGTAATTAAATACACCAAGTCCAGGGTCGCATTATTTGGTAAACGGTCTGGACGACCAATCAGATATACGTCAACCTGGTAAACTTTAAACATGAACGTGAACCAAAATCCCTGTTTCACTGCCACACAGTAACCCGAGACTGCACAGTGTACTCTCCCTACTGTAACACCGTGAGAACAAGCCGGTACACATGTAAATGAATTTATCTAAGACTTCTACATAGAAATGTCTGCGGTGGTTTTAGAGACAAAGAATTAAACCTCCACGAATTAAATATTTGATTTGTGCATACAAAATATGACCGCACGGCAACATGTAGTCGTTGAAACGCTCAAAAGCACACAGTCCATGTGGAGTATCAACAACATACAAAATGCCCTTTTCGTAGCAGCGGATGTATTCTCCTGCAATTACTTCGTCTTTCATTCTCTTAACTTATTCATGATTTACTGCCGCAATTTTAGCTGCGAAAGTTGTGAGCTTATTGAAGAGTTTGAAGTGACCTGAGAACCCCAAGTTTTGGAAAACTTCCCGAGCTCCCAATTTCGGGGAGAATTTGACCCGTTTTGGGAAGCCTCCATGGGGGTTTTGTGCCATTTCCCCAAAGTTTACTATAGCGGCTTCCCCGAAACTTCCCCAAAATGGGTCAAAATTTCCCCGAAATTGGGAGCTCGGGCGGGATTACTGAACTACAGCAAATAATTTGTACAGTTAATCCTTACCTCCCTGAAAAATGCTATGTAGACATAGAACAAACACAGAATTATATCCGCATGACTGTGCGTAGACTGTATCACGGAAGTCTTAGTCGCTTCTGAATTCATAACATGTATCGTAAGTACCACACATGGTTTCTTTGAAGTATTTGAGTAAACTTACGACGTCTTCACGTCGTTCTTTCATGCACAGAGCACACATAACGCTGTGCTCTTGCCCAAGACTATTATTAACTGTCAGCTTGAATAGTGGAAAAACTTTAAGATGAGGTTATTATGTGTTACTTAACCAACTTTGTTGGACCGGTAAGTCGCAGTACTGCGTTTACGTCCATAAGTACAAACATATCTGATAAATATACCTTACGGCCATCTTTGTTCTTTCTGCATACTGAAATGATATACTTAATGTGCGTATACTATACAACGAATTATCAATCACAGAAGTCATATTACCTTATGTACTCTTTTCTGCTGAAAGAGCTACCTTGGCAGGTCTCAAAATTGTCCCGATGACATAGTATCATTGAAGATTCGTCCTATATCATGCATCATTAAGATGGCATCACTTTCGTTACTTGAAGGATGGACGTTACCACATACAGTGTGGTTGAACTCAAATCAAATTCAAAACTCTTGAGTTGACCGCTTCTGTAAAATCTTACGAATTGTCGAGGTGACGCATCAATCATTTTACGCGTTTGACCTTCAAGTGCTCAATCACGTCCTTCATTCGATGAAACCACTGGACCGTTACGGCACACTATGCGTGTTAGTTTACGGGTTTTCGCGCACATGTAACATATTGTCGTGGATTTTATGTGTCGTTATTTATCAGCTATTAACAGCCTTTTTTCCATCATACGTGACTTCTCGTAATCTTTGTGATTGGAAGATAGTGTTTATTTCAATTTATAAGCAGTTTGACGTATTTCGTGCTCATCTCCTAAGTAAATATGTAGTTGGCGTAATATGGTTATTTTTTAACAATAAAAAGTCAAACAAGTCAAATCACCATTTTTCTAGTCAAAAATAGATTACAGATTGACTTTTCATGAAAATAAGCCGTGAAAAGCATTATATATGGTTCACCTCCTTGATTATGGTGACGGCAAACATAGATGTTCGTAGTCATTTATAAAATGTAATTAGAAAGAAGTAAGCATTAAACTAACTATGAATATTATATAAATTGTTTGTATTTAGCCATAAAAGGTTATTTGCACTAAAGATAGCATTGTTTTGTATTGAAGTGACATATTATTGTGTAACGTATCAGAGAAAAATTATGTGAGTAAGAATTGATGTTGATAGTCTTTTTTACCGGCTTTCTGAACGTATACAGGAACAGTGTATAACACCACATTAAATAGGCACAAAATCTTCATAAGTGAAACGATGGCTGTCTCTTCTGAGCATGGTGACAAAACCATGTCGTACTTAATATTGATTTATGATGTGTCTGTTATAGGACTGACGAATAATTTTCTGTAAACGAAATGCACAGTCGCAGACAAAAATGTGAACAAAGTTATGATGCATATTGTCGAGTAATATCTAAATGGTACTTACCAATTTCTCTTGCTAATACCAGATGTATATACGAAATACTACAAGGGTTAGACATTGAATAAATTCCCAGTGCTTGTTACGACACAGACTTGAATAAAAAAACAACTATTCATGAGTTAATTCATGAATTCCTACTGCATTACAGACTGACTCGTCCGAAGTAATTCATGCAGACAACGTGACGAAAAGTGAATGAGCAATGGAAGCAGAATCACAAGTTTCTTGTATTCATATCTCCTTCATGCCACATTAATGAATTACATTACCAGTTCTCTCCTTAATGCTTTCGATAACTTCATCTGCTGACTCACAGTGAAGTATTACGGGCTTCAAGTTCTCTTTTTCTTCTGACGATAATCTCCTTCTCCATGGATCACATACCATCCATGAACTACTACATGGATGATTGTGGAGCATGTTGTAGGATTTGATGACATATCCTTGCTCCTCTAGTCTTACACGAAATTTAGATTGACAATTACGGAATTTAGACCTTAAACATAAGATATTAGTTAAAGATCTTACGACTTTTGCCTCACTTTCAAACCTTCCGATTTCCTCTTATGACCAAACGTACAATTAAACGATACAAACAGGTATTTGAACCTGACATCCTTCAGCAATCTGCTTTCTGTGTGGATGTAACGAGTATAAGTAGTCTGAGAAGCGATAAAATTATAATTCCATACTTTTTGGAACTCTTTTAAGGCGCTTTCAAAATCATCCCACAACACGAAACGCTTGTTCAGTATCATACTTCGAAAGGCATCGGCTAGGTCGACTGAAATGTCACTTGAGCATGAAGCACTAAAAACAGAAATGACTAATTGTTAAAAGGTTATTCCTTGCAACAATAATAACCCAAGGAAATACTACAAATACTTAGGATTTACCTGTGACTTGACATTTCGTTGAGCTTTACTACAGTTGTTGGGATCAAAGATCAAATTACAAAGCAGCAACAGAGCCAAAGTGTACACTACAAAATAGAGGACGCTAAATTAATGGTTTTGGTATTTATTTCGTGCTTTTTTATGTAGCATAAGATGACTTATATATGAAAAAAACTTGATACTCATGCAATCCAACCAACCCACGGCAATTGAAATACGGAATGACCGCCTCTAGTCAAGCCGTTCAAGGTCGTTGAAACGAAAGGGCGGGCACATTTCAAAAGGACCTAACGTTTAAACCTTGCCGACCGTTACTCGACATGGTTCGTCGGTTATTTCATTGTTTTGTATAGATGTATATTACTGGTTTAATTCGATTTTCTTTGAAAATTGCTCACATTTATCTGCAGATTTTGGTACAGGTTGGTTAATCCAGGGAAAGTTTTCCAACCCAACTTCCTAAATCTTTAATGTTTGCTAAATGTCTGACTGATTCGTATATTTTCTCTGAGAATTTAGGTTCTTTTCAACCAGATCGTAACTCTGGGGCTATTCTTGTGAGTATATCAGGATAAATGCTATGTAATGGGTTAACCTGTACAAACGAGTCTTAAAGTTTGTTTATCATTAGAATTTATTTCATTTTTATTTCAACACATAAATAATGGTACAAAGAGGCACCAAATACATATGCGCCACACAAATCTCATTTGATATGTGTGAGGGCTGTGATACTGCCCGGGTGCCCAAACCGAACCAGGTGGTTATCTTAGGGGGCCACACCCCGAGCCTCCGACTCGAAGGTCTGATCCACAAGGCAGTGGAGCATCGTAAGGAGATGCAGTCCCATGGAAGCCGGTGACCAACGATTGGTTCATACGCCATTTGTTCCCGCAGGATACTGGAGCCCATGTGCACCATTGATTTGGAATCCGGTTAAAGCGCCGGACATTCGCTTTTCGTCCTCTCATTTTCGTAAACAACACCCCTGCCACGAGAAGGCAGTGAATAGGACTTTCCTGGCAGAGGCTGTATACGCGTGGCCGTGTGAGAGCATTTCGCAAAAGAGTTGACTCCCTCCACTCTCGTCTGTACCAGGGCATTTGGGGGCTTTGCAACTATAGTACAGCAGTGAATAGTTATGAGTTTGGACTAGTATATACATATTCTTGTTTTCAATTACGCTTTCTTATTTTGTCTCTATCGTGAAAGTACTCTTGCGTTGCGATGTCATACAGTTTTGCAAGTTGTTTTCACTGACGGATAGGAATAAGAACCGAGTTGTTAATGCTCCTGAAGGTTTTGAAAACAAAGTTCTTACTTCGTATGCACTCGTAAAACCTGCACTTCTGAAGTTCTCTTTTAGATGAAGTGTCAAGTAGAGTAAAATGACTGGCAGCTTCAGGTGTCGTGACGTATGACAATAAATAGCGCATAGACATTTTAGGGTTATCGTTTATTAACCAAGTCAATATGGCCATTTGCAATGAATTTTGTTGACGTACAAATTTGCTCCTTATGTCTTGCTTCTGAAGACATGAGTCCAACGTTTTCCGTTCCTCCTCGGATGACAAAGGGGACTGCAAACTTAATAGTCGGAAATCAAATTGCCGCGGATGTTCACCTTTGCCCCCCTGAATGCCCTGGTACGGCCGAGAGTGGGAAGAGTCCGCTCTCCCTCTCAAAATACGCTCACACGGCCACGCGTATACAGCCTCTGCCAGGGAAGTCCTACTCATTGCCTTCTCGTGGCGGGGGTGTTGTTTACGAAAATGAGAGGACGAAAAGCGAATGTCCGGCGCTTTAACCGGATTCCAAATCAATGGTGCACATGGGCTCCAGTATCCTGCGGGAACAAATGGCGTATGAACCAATCGTTGGTCACCGGCTACCATGGGACTGCATCTCCTTACGATGCTCCACTGCCTTGTGGGTTAGACCTTTAGGTCAAAGGCTCGGGGTGTGGCCCCCTAAGATAACCACCTGGTTCGGTTTGGGCACCCGGGCAGTATCACAGCCCACACACAAATTGATGAACTCTTTATGCCTATGGAAATTACATTTCTCGCTTTGAAAAACAAACAATTGATTCAGATTATTATCATTACAATTATTGTCATTATTAATACTAACATTATTATTACTACTATTATTGTCATTATTGTTATTATTATCATTATTATTATTATTTTCCACATTATTCACCCTCTTTTATACTTATACAGCGGCTCGTCTTTGGTGGAAATCCGACTGTATCTAAACGTTCTCGAGTCACTGTCCGGTTGAAAATTGTATGCTACCACCGAATACGAGGACTGAAGCAGTTTTTCTGAAACCACGCGCATCATTCAAACTGGCTGCCTTCAACGTTCGCACATTTATGCAGGTCGGATAACAGATAGGGCTGGCTATGTCTTTGGAAAGTCTTAATATCGACGTGTGTTGTCTATCCGAGACCCGTATTCAAGACTCTGGCGAAGTACTACAAATTCGATCTCCATCTGTCGCTTCGAAAAGCTTGTTTTACGTGCGCTTATCCGGGGACCCTATGGCATCTTCGTCTGGTCTTGCTGGCGTTGGTGTCGCACTAAGCGCTAGAGCTGAGGCAGCACTAGTCGATAGGATCCCCATTAACAGTCGGTTATGTGCTGTTAGATTAGAAAGTTCCATCAAAGTGAGAAGAAATCGGCGTGAGAAACGATGTCTTTTCGTCATCTCCGCCTACGCTCCGACAGATTGCAGCCCGGATGCAATCAAGGATGAGTTTTACCACCAGTTATCAGTTCTTCTCCAGAAAGTGCGTTCGACAGATATTGTAGTACTAGCCGGAAACTTGAATGCTCAGGTCGGGCGTCTAGGCACAGAAGAGAGTCGTTTAGGTGGCCGATGGGGACTCGTTGGTCGCAGGACAGATAACGGGGACCGTCTACTGCAACTGTGCACAGACCACAACCTGTTTCTGGCTAGCACTAACTTTCGGCACAGTCATCGCCGATGTGCCACCTGGCGTCCTCCCTCTGCATCTCAAGCCTGGACTCAGATTGATCACATCGCGATCAGCTACCGCTGGCGTGGTTGTGTACAAGACTGCCGCTCCTTTTGGAGTACCTATCTGGACTCTGACCATGCCTTGGTCTGCGCCAATCTTGCCTTACTTTTCAGTGGCCAACGAAGTGACCACCACCAAAAGATTGATGTTAGCAAGCTGGTTGCAACTTCTGTTGCAAGTAAGTATCGAACCGAGCTAGCCTCTAGGCTAGCTACCACTCCACCGAAAAGTATAGATGAGCATTGGTTGCAATTGCATGACGCCATGAAAATGGCGGGAACAGTCAGTTGTGGGTTTGCGAAACGTCCCGCTTTTAAGCACTGGGTTTCTTCTGGTTCCTTACAACTCATTGAAGCCTGTTGGTCTACTCCGGGTGACCATGAGTTTGACCATAAACGAAGGATGTTACGTAAGGAAATTGGGCAAAGCTTGCGTAAGGACCGAGAAGCCTGGCGGCCGGAGCGTGCTAATGAGCTGGAAGCAGCAGCTGCATCTGGTAACTACCGGAAGCTCTTCCAGCTCATCCGAGCCACTGGCAGCAAGAAGTCTGGTGTGAGTGAAACAATCTGCGAGGATGATGGGATGCCAATCACTAACATCCATCGACGTCTTGGGCGATGGGCAGAATTTTTCGAAGGGCAGTTCAACTGGCCTGCTGCTCCGGCAACATCGGTCAGACTGTCCTGCCCTCCATGGCCGGTGACGACTGATCCACCAAATGAGGAGGAAGTCCGCAAGGAACTCCAACTCTTGAAGCGTTACAAATCACCTGGCCCAGATGACTTACCTCCGGCTCTTTTTAAAGATGGTGGTGACTTTTTGACTAAGGAATTGACGACGTTGTTTACAAAGGTTTGGGAACTAGAGAGTGTACCAACGTCATGGAATGAGTCGATAGTTGTCCCTATCTTTAAAAAGGGTTCACGTCGTTCTTGTAACAACTATCGGGGGATAAGTTTACTTCCGGTTGCGTCCAAGCTATTGGCTTCCGTCATACTTCGTAGGTTGTTCAAAACCCGAGAAAGATTGACTCGCGAGGAGCAGGCTGGGTTTCGTTCTGGTCGAGGATGTATTGATCATATCTTCACCCTCCGCCAAATGTTAGAACACCGCCATACTTTTCAAAGGCCAACAATCGTAGTGTTTCTTGACATCAGGGCTGCCTTCGATTCGTTGGATAGGACTGTTCTCTGGGATTGTCTATTGAAGAAGGGTGTGCCTGAGAAGTTTATTAACATCCTAAAAGCCCTGTATAAAAACACCTCAGGCAGAGTGAGGGCATACAACCACCTCTCTCCATTGTTCCATTCGAGCAGTGGGGTTAGGCAGGGTTGCCCAATCTCACCATTCCTCTTCAACTTTGCCATCGATGACATTCTGGAAACAGCTCTGATGGATGTAAGTAATGGCGGTGTGGATCTGTTGCCTGGAGAAAGACTTCTCGACCTTGAGTATGCGGACGATATTGTCTTACTGTGCGATAATGCCCAAGGCATGCAATCCGCACTTAATCAGTTGGCAATCAGTGTCCGTAGGTATGGTATGTGCTTTGCACATTCGAAGTGCAAAGTACTTCTACAAGACTGGCAGGATCCTAATCCTGTACTCACCCTGGATGGTGAGCAGATAGATGTAGTTGAGGGGTTCGTGTATCTGGGTAGCTGCATAAGTGCTGGTGGGGGTGTGAGTGATGAGATCAATGCACGAATAGTGAAAGCCAGAGCGGCTTATGCCAATCTGGGCCACCTTTGGCGCCTTCGTGATGTTAGTCTGGCTGTAAAAGGCCGGATCTACAACGCGCCAGTGAGAGCAGTTTTGCTCTATGCTTGTGAAACCTGGCCTCTCCGAGTTGAGGACGTTAGACGACTCTCTGTGTTCGATCATCGCTGTCTCCGAAGGATTGCTGACATTCAGTGGCAACACCATGTCAGTAATGCAGAGGTTCGGCATCGTGTGTTCGGGCACAGAGACGATAATTCAATTGGTGTGACCATCTTGAAACACCGACTTCGGTGGCTTGGACATCTACGAATGTCGTCCCAGAGAATTCCACGTCGTGCATTATTTGCCGACTCTGGGACTGGTTGGAAGAAGCGGAGAGGTGGTCAGTGCATGACATGGTGTCATGGTATGAAAGGAAGCTGCAAAGGACTGGCTTGTGTTGGTCCTTCACGACTCCCTGGTTGGGGTCCGAGAGATAGTGCTACACAGTGGCTAGAGACGTTATCAGATATGGCTCAGAATAGAAGCCAGTGGCGATCCTGCTGTAACCTTCTTTTACTTTCTTCATAAAAAGTGGTTGTGTCTCCTTTACCTGAAAGATTTCTTCTGATTGTACCTTTTCGTTCCGTCGTTACTACCACACTACCTTACTCCAATCTCTTCGTCATTGTTCTCTTTTCCTTTTGCGCTCCTTAGTTTTTTTTTCTACTTCTCTTCGAATTCTCATTGTTTTGTGTGGCGCATATATATTGGCGCTCTCTTGTACCAATATTTATGTGTTCAAATAAATAAATTTGACCTAACCACTGCTATGAATCCGGTGTTCATCTTGTTGTGCTGATGCGGTATGGCAACCTGGACCGATGCACATATGTGCCTGGTCCTACGTTGTAGCTGACTGACTGACTGGATGTTCACGCCCGACAGACTTCGATATTAGCTGCACAATGTTGGTACTCAAGTCTGAAACAACAGTACATGATACAGTCTATCAAATCTTAAGCACTTAGCTCAGTTGGGCATTTTACTTACTCGGTCGGTAACCCACTTCTCACACGCCTAGACTTGTATGTTGAGCGTTACTACCCAACTGTGTCGAACTAGTTTATTAATGTATATGTAGTAGGCACGCATACTTGGCACTTGGTGAGACAACGGTGTTTAGCAACCGAAATTTAGGATATTGGATGTGGATGTTTCTAGCCTGCATCTCGGCCACATCCATGTCAATGAAATTGTACAGAAACCATTCGTTCAGTTTCAATGCACCTCTACGAAATGTTAGATTACTGTACTGACCTCTTCAGCTTCTCATTGTTTAGTGGCAGTGTTTACGTCTGTAGAACTGTTGACACGGTAAACATCCAATTTGTTGAACGAAGCCAACAACTCCTTTGCGGTCTGGAAACTATCTATAGGAAATGGTCGTTTCTATGTTTGTAACTCACCGCATTCGTGAATGACCTTACACTTCATGACTGACCAGTTGTCATCTGACTGGGCACTGTTTTGTAGGTGCATATTAAAAAGGACCGTAGGATAGAGACAAAGTCCTTTTCTCACAATTCACTGTTTTGCTGCAATCAGAACCTGCCTCCCACTTAGTGAGTCTATAATTACGTACTGCTTGTTGCTCGGCTAAATAGGAACTGGTTTAAAGTAATACCATCAGCAAAAATCAAAAATAGCACATAAACGTATGTAGCAATGGAACAGTCGCTAAATTATTAACACAAGAGCAATACATTTACAGTCAATATCCTTAAAGTAACCTATGTGTGCTCATGACTAACTACAGAGCACATAAATATTCCTGTCACTAAAATGGAAGGGTTCTTCGAAGTAATCCCGTGGGTCTGTAAGTGATCTAAATGTCATTAGTCCATTTTCCCCTACATCAGTTGCAATACCAGGCTTTCGTGTACTAGAATAACATCTGGCTTAAATGAAGTTATTTTTGTATTCTTAAGCATAATTACCTGTTTCCCTGAGTGTGCCTTAACGATTGTTTGTATAGTATAGTATATAGTCAATATGCTAACTTGAAGCCTATCACAGAAAGATATCTACGCGTAACGCTGAGCTGCTTGCTTGGCTGCATCATACCCGCCATGTACTGATTTCTTAATCTGTCTCATATAAGACTCTAATGGAAAGGCGAAAAAGAATCTAAAGGTCCATGTGAACGAACATCCACAGGAAGGTGCTTCAACAAATACACATTATAAGTTTTCAGGCCCTTAATACCGTTCATATTCCCTAAGAAAGTTCAGTAAACCAATTCCGATAGAATCCGTAACGCTGTTATGTAGTCTTGGATGCGCTAACAAATAAGTCGATAATACTAAACGCTTGAAATTAAGGTACAAGGTTTGTGGTAAACTTTGTTGAAGAATTATGCCGCCTAAGTACGGAAGAAACAGTAGACACTGTCGACTTCCGTACTGAGACGAAGTCTAATGTCCGACATTTACATTGAAAGTCAGAAGGAGCACTTGCTACGCAACTTGATGTTAACTTGTACCCCTAATTACATACTTGTTTATGTTTCTTAGTCTTTTGTGAGAAAATTCTATCTATTTATTGATTATTTTTTTCATCTCAGCCACAAATCCTCATTATCTCCTCCTGACAGTCGAAAAAGCAGGCATTATGGTGCATTTCCCTATTATTTCCCCTTTATCTTTCAACGAATTTTCCCTTTTGTTCTTTATTTCACCTTTATGGGTTGCTTCGGGTGTACTTCCAGGTTTATGCATTTAAGGAGGCTCGTCAAACGAGGTGTTTTGAATGTACGCAACTGCATATCTGTAGTTATCATATTCATGGAGATAGGGATTGATAAATGAAGGGAACCATAGTTTATGAGTCTTTTTTATCATTAATCTAAACGGTGTAGAAAAGCATGAGATTCTTAAATGTGTTTCATATAACAATCTTAAAGTATTGTCAATGGTATTAAATGACATTGGCTTCAACATTTGCAGTAGCGGGGATAAATCCATTCTTTGCAAGTCTTGAGAATACCATTATCTTATGTAGGGTAATTGCTTATTGATAATGGAGTTTGATTTTAAAATCACTAGGCTACAGGATCGACTCTTGGTACGTTTTAGGATTAGGTATATCCCTCATACAAGACGTTTTACTCAAAATCGAGAACGCGAGTCCTTACTAAGTTGTTATTCTTGGAAGTCACTCATTTCTTTTTCTCTCGACGCCTATGTGGCTCTTCGTTACTTTTTCTTTTTGTTTACATCTCATATCTTTGATCGTAAGTTTGAATGACGTTTGACAACTTGGACTGATACACATTCGTACTAGATTTCACGTTATTTGTCTACCTTGTTCGTACTTACTCCTTGACTTTATTGTCAAAAGATTTAATCACTTAAATCACGAATGCGTAATTTCGATATCTGTAGGTTACTAGTATTTGATCATAGGTGTCTTCGAAATATTGCTCGTATATCCTGGAACCATCGAGTAAGTAATGCAGTTGTTAGGATACGGGTACTAGATAAGGATGGCAAATCAATTGATGACGTATTGAAACTTCAGTTGAGATGGCTGGGACACGTGTTACGTATGCCCGACTGCCTCGACCTGCGATGTTCAGTGGTATAGGAGTAGGTTGTAAGAAAGCTAGGGGCGGCCAGACCAAAACATGGCACAAGTCCATGAAGTCACTGACAAGTGGACTGAGTCATGTTGGTAGGTGTAGACTACCTGGTTGGGGACCGCGAGATGATAGCAACTGATGGTGAGAGACCCTGAATGACATGGCTCAAAATCGTTTGCAATGGCGCAGGTGCATCTACTCTTTGTGTTCTACCAAATTCTAATCTTCTGAATTCTTAATGTCCTTTTTTTCCTCTTCCCAAATTTATTTCACTGTATTATACTCTTTAAGTAACATCTCCAAACACTAATCTTCCCAATTACTGCTTATACTCTTATTACCTCTACCACTACGGGATTTGAATCGACCACTGCATCTCTGTGCTAATGTGGTGTGGCAACTCGAACTGATGTACGTACGTACGAAGTTCTACGTTGTTACTGACTGAATTTCGATCTTTAATCAATTTTCACTGGAATTAATATTAGGTGGTTGGATATTACCAATAAGCAACCTTAAACCAATATTCTCTTAGGATGTATGAACTTAGAATGATACGCACGCCAGACCCTACATTGTGAGGGTAAATTCTCGTCTGTCATGAGTTTTAACAGTAGGACCTCTGTGTTCTGTGGGGGAGTATACGGCTGCAAAAAACAGAGTTCCCATTATTCTTCTCACATTCTGTCTACAAGTGAAATGCACAAAAGAAACACAAATTATTTTTTAAGAAACCAAATTCTGTAAGTTTATTTGGTTTACTACTTGTTTGCAAATGTCTAGAAGTACATCGTTTTTGTTCTGCATTATTTTCTCATGATATTTACTTCGTACAATGTACTAAAAACCTTGTTTTACTAATCCAATAAATTTTATACTCCCAATGCACAAGAATTCCATGTTGTAAAGTGAAATCTATTCTTAATATTTCAGATATCTATGAAAAGGACGGCACGTGATGAGGTAGATTGTAAATCTAGGACTCGTAGACATTCAAAGAAATCAAAGTCAACTGATTGTCCTTCCACAAAGGCGTCAGGAATTAATATCGGTTTAGACAAGTCAAATCAAACGTGTAGCGTTAAGAAGGAATATTCCAAGAATGAAAAGCTTGGTCGTAAATCAAAAAAGAGGGTAAGTATTTTTGGTATAGCTAATGCTTTTGTTCAGATCTTACAAAAATCTATTTCTGAGACCAAAGGTAAAAATCAAATCTTTGTTTAAAGTAATGCTTATAATTAAATTTTGACGTGATATATTTTTGTTGTAGATTGAGTGACATTTTCACTTCACAGTTATCCTATAAGTGTATTCGACAAGTGCTTTGCCAATAAATATTCTATTTGGCATCAAATAGTTTTATGTAACTTAACATATGCAGTAAAATAAACTCGAAATTATATTCTGAACCTGAGATCTGTTAATAATACCTTATTACTTTCATAATAATACAGCCGCCGTAGTATTCTAAGCTTAACAAGTGACAAATAGGGATGTTTTAATATGTATTAACAAAAAATCTTAAAGGTAGTGTACCGTATAACCTTCGTTAATACATTAAAGGGGAGACGAGTTTTTAAAAAAAAACTTATTGAAAGTTAATAAAGGAAGAAACGTTGACTATAAGCAAGAGTACGGATTAATTTTAAAACTGCATAAAATTGTAATGAGTCAAACCTCTTAAGTGAGCCTCCACAAAGCTTCCTGAATTGTAAAGTTTTTTTTTCTGTGGATGCTACAGCCTACAACCTATGGCGAAGGCGAGATATCCGTCTACCAATTAAGGGACGAGTATACTGAGCAGCAGTTCGTTCTGTTCTACTTTACGGCTGCGAAACGTGGCCATTAAGAGTGGAAGATACTCGTAAATTACTAGTGTTTGATCACAGATGCCTTAGAAATATTGCTGGGATCACCGGGTAAGTAATAGTGAGGTTAGATACAGGGTATTAGGGAATGATGGTAAATCTGTTGATGAGGTTGTGAATCTTCATCGACTGAGATGGTTGGGCCACGTGTTACATATGCCTGAACACTGATTACCACGACGTGCAATGCTGACCGTTGTTCGGGATGGTTGAAAGAAAGTGAGGGGCGGCCAAACCAAAATGTGGCATCAGTCTTTGAAGTCACTAACTTCTAATCTTAGCCATGTTGGTAGATGCAGACTACTACGAACGGTTGGAAACTGGGGTGACATGGCTCAGAATCGATCACAATGGTGTCGGTTTAACACTCTATGTCTTCCCTCAATCTATGAGATTAAAATTGCTTTATATCTTTCTACGAACTAATTCTTTCTTCCTGTATTATATCCTTATATGCAATCTTTCTTTTATATATTACCACCATTGAATTAACTACTTCTATGAATCCGGTGTTTATCTTGTGCTAATGAGGTATGACAACTTGGACCGATGCATATATGTGCCCGGTCCTACGTTGTAGTTGACTGAGGACTTGAAATTCCTTAAGATTTCTTACAAGACGTCTCCTTCCTTTTCCTAAATATTGGTATGATTATCCGGTAACAATAGAAATTCGTAATTGTAGGGTTTAGAAAGCTTTTGTTATAATTCATCATGATTCGCTACCTTGCTATATCTCGCCCCTGTAACAATCTCATTTCGTCTCTATATTTTAACTTTAATGTTTCTGTTAACTAATAATTTTTTTCCGAAATACTCTGTAGTATCCGTTCTTTTTAACAGAAAGTCGTCCGCTTTTATTCACTTGGATATTTAATGTTCACAGTACTAATAGGTTTTATTGCATTAATTTGTTTCTGTGTTTTGTGTAAAATTTCTGTATGTTAGTGTTACGTAGTTTTGCGTTAAGTTGTTTATAAGCTACACAGAAAAGCGTTTCAATAGAAATAATTCCTAGTCCTTGAACTTATTTTAGCTGATCAGCAAACAAAGAAAATTTTATCACTTCGTTTTATGCTTTCTTTTAAATAAAACTTTTTATAAACGCATGCGATTTTTTACGATTAAGAGCTAACACATGGGACACCAAAGTTGTTGCTTACCAGTCTACCATGCAGTGTCAGCCAAACCATTTTGAAGGATATTTTTCCATCAGTTATTCATTTGAATTTGCGTAATACAGCTGGTTCGAAGCACGCGCTTTTAGACTTTTCAAGTAATGACGATTACTTAGATGCTGTGAATCGTTTAAAATCAATTGAATTTGATGGTGTCAAAGTAAGTGTATATTATACATTTAGCATACTTTAAGTAATCTCGATTTTATTGTTTATTTTTTTCTTTTCGGCGAATTCATTTTCAAAGCTGTACAATCGCTGCATTGCCGAGGCAATAGCCATACATTTTGAAAAACCAGAATTATGTGTACAAAAGAGACTGGTACAACCTCTTCTTCTACCATGGTCTTAATGTATAAAATAAAAGATTTAAAAAATTTTCTCTTTCTTCATACTCTTGTTCCCTTACAGCCACCTGCTTCACCTTCCATCTTCCCTTCAAATCTTCTACCCCCAACCGGTTTGTTTTTATTTCCACGATCATTCCGATCACATTTCATCTCTGTTTCAACATTTTATTTTATCATGCTGAGCCATCATTACCCAATGAATACTTCAGCCATTAACTATCAAACGATTATTAAACTTTCCTTGTTTAAAAATTTTTTTACCTTTGTTTATTTAATCTCACTGTCACCATGTATAACAGAAGTTTATTATCAGTATTATTATCACCCTGTAAAAATAAGTATATATATTTGCGATTGTACAGCTTTGAAAATGAATTCGCCGGAAAGAGAACTCTTCGCTGAACTAATCTTTCTTTCTTATTTAATGTCATAATGGATGTATTCCGTTTATTATTTTCTGTCTACTGGTCACAATTTGTTTTGTGAGGTGTACATACAAATAACTTTTTGTCACTTGTTATGTCGCTTATTTTCTAAGTTTTGCGCTCTTCGTTGTCGAATGGAATATGATGTTCAGAATAAAATTTTCGAACATGAATTTTAACAGTTGGGTCTCATGTCGAAATCTCACTCTTCATCCCTTTTTAGTTTTGTCCATCTGTTAGTATTTATAGTCGTCACACAAGTAATATGGTGCTTTTTATCTAGCGTTAAGTTTGTTACTATCATCAAAGCACTTTGTTATAATCTTTTTCTTACGGTATGACCCAGCTATACCTATTGCTTAATATTCTTGGACACCGATTCACTCGACAAGTCCCCAAATCAGAACACGGTTGAACATGAAAGAGATTATATTCCAAATAACAAGGTTAGATGGAAGCAAGAAGCAAGTAAGAAGCACAATAGAGAAAACGTTAGTACATTTATAGTTTTTACATGAGAAGATTCTACAGTATCCTCCAACTATCGACTAGTGCCGATTGGATAAGAATTAGCCAATCAGCGTGCACCAAAGCAATCGTGCATTGAGCATGCTTTAATCCGGTCTATGTCCTGCTAACACACTTCTTAAACACTGAGCACTTAAACTAAACATCTTCAGGACACCTTCAAATTGATCAAAGAAATCAAAATCCACAGTTTACAAAGCATTTGAGCAATATATAGATCCTCATTTAATTAGTCATCAACAACCTAGGATCGGGAAAAAATGTGACGGTTCAATTCAGCATACTTAAACATAATGAAATTTAGTAAACAAAATGAAAAGGAGATAAAAATCATTATACCAATGGCGAGTAAAGGATTCCATATAATTAGTTCCCTTCATAGACATTATTTTTGGTTTACAAAATGGATAATCAAAATCATAACAATAGTAAAGTAAGCGCAAAAAATATAGTTTTAAAAAATCAAAGCTTCGGCAAAATGATGAAATATTTTAGCTTTCTAAAGAAAGAACGAATACATCTACACTGCCTCGACCGATCTCAAACCATTTCACCAAAGTTCATCAGTCATTGATGAATCTCACTATGAGGATACCGACGTAAATGTCCACCACTAATGACATAACTCGGTCTAACAGTTAGTAATATCGTGGTTTGACTGTCTGTAACGTTTTTACAGATCCTGAAGTGTCGGCGATGTTTAGATTCATGAATTCCAATGCATGAGTTTATATTGTAAAACAATCGAGAGACAGTCGTACGTGAGTAAAAATTTCATTTTTCAGATTAGGTAATGTTGTGCTCTTACCCTACCTTAGCACCTACAAATTTTTAACGAAATAAATGTTCATAAATCTCCTTTTACTTTTGTGTTTTGTTTTTATTCTTTGGAAGGAAAGTGTATTATATTTAAAGAATCACCAGAAAGTTTGAAGAATATTTCTGTGTTATACTTAACTTTCAAGCAAAGCTTATCCTTACAAATAATAATAGTCATGATAATATTAATGCAACTTGCCAACCAAGTGCAAATTAGTTTACTTAGCTTTGAACCACATTTATCTGAGAATTAGTGATACTAACCAGCTGCCCAAACGAAAGTAAATGAAGTGCAATTTGAGTTTGGGACCTAGTGGTTTAACGTTTGGTTTAATCACTAAACTTACCACTCTGATCGTATTCACAATCAACTATTAAACTAAATACTACCTCAGTCTTGCATCAAATATATGTCTAAATAGTCGCTGCACACGCTTCAATTTATTCATGTGCCCTTTTAAAAAATATTATTTGTTATCTAGCCAAATTATCGAGCCATCGTTGGATTCACAGAAAATGTAATCCAGTCTAATCTGTCAAGACAATTTGTAACTAATAGTCCTAATTGTTTAATCATACGAAACTTGCCATACTCACTAACTGCAACTGAGATTAAAGAACATTTCCCCATGGCCAATCGTGTTCATTTAGGTGTAAATAAGTTTGGAATATTCAATGGGTAGGTACTATTTTTCTTTACCACTTTAAATGAAGTATAGTATTTATTAGATATTACTTTATTGAATCATACATAGGATTACAACTATCAATATTATTAGATTGATCCCAAGATGTCTCATGATCGATGAGTATTTGATTTAGGTGGTCAAATATATCTGTATAGTTATTGAATCGAGTTCTGGATTTCAAGTAATCAATTAATTGAGTTATATTATTCATAAAATATGACCGTCGTATTTGCCGGTAAAGATGCAATTAGGACAAGATAACTAAGTATTACTTGTCTCTTTGGTGGGTTCTTGTAGTAATAAATGGCGTTTATTCCTAGAATCGATTACTCTGAACGACAAACGTAGACAACTTTTTCACCTTTATTGTGGCTCTATGTTAAGTAGAGAGAAATAGATTAAACACTCACTAAATGGTTTATTAAACTCATCGAAGAAGAATCAAGCGAACTCTAGTGGACGCGAGTATATATACAATGTCTTCAATAATAATGAAAAAATAGCATACTACAACATGTACAAGCCAATCAAATCGAACCGAAGGCCTCCAGCTGCCACGACAAACATAATGCCCTTAGACTATTGGGTTGCCATCCAACTGTTTAGATTCTCAGCTTTAGTTAGTTTGTCGTAATATAGGGGTTTTGGTTGTGAACTGCCCCACTACTGATGTAGTTGACATTAGAGTTTATGACTTCTCACTAGAGCTGTGGGAAACTCGTGAGAACTGATCACTAGTGTAAGTATATGCTTATCACTTTTCAGCACGTTTTTGTGGAGAATTCATAGAATTTAATCTAATGGTATTAGTTTCACTCGCTGTCTGAGTTATTTGTTGCCTACTGCTCAAGTCTCGAATTAAAAGGAACCAATTTTACAATGCTCTGGTTTCAACAGTTCTCCAGTTTTTCGTGTTAGTTCATAATAAAAGTCATCTTTAGTTCAAATATTATAACTGATTATCCTACTTCAAACTTTGATCTATCATATTCATTGTTTAATTAACTTTTTTTTAGTTCATGTATATTAGAAATGAAGAATAAGGAAGATCTTCAAATTCTTATAAATGAATGTAAACATAAGTATATTAATAATCGACTGGTTAGAGCAAATCTACAGTGTAAATCCAAATCGGAATCATCCAAATCTCCCGATGCAAGTATGAGTTATGGTTTGAAACTTAAAGAAGTACCCAATGTGATTGAAGATGATCGAATTAAAGCATTATTTCCCGAAACATCTTTGACTGGTTTAAGCTCGGCACCACTTAAAGATTCCAATACTAGGTAGGTGGCCTTTGTCTAAATAACTTGAGAATTCGTCTGAAAATAAAAAAATACTTTTTTTTAAAAATCGCGACACTCAGGATCATCGTTGAATAATCAGTTGAATGGAACTAGTCACTATACATCAACTTCATTAACTATGAGAAAACATTTGACAGCCTAGGTAGGAGAACCTTATGGAAACTTCTTCGACACGACGGTGTACCTTAGAAGATCATCAACATCATACGTAATTCATACAACGGACTACAGTGCAGAGTAGTGCATGGAGGACAGCTGAGAGATGCATTCCAAGTAAGAACCGGAGTCAGATAAGGCTGCTTACTCTCCCCTTTTCTTTATCTTCTAGTGATTGGCTGGATTATGAAGGCCTCCACATCTGAGGAGAAGCACGAAATACAAAGAACAGCTTAGAATCAATTAGACGATTTGGACTTGGCCATCCTATCCCATACACACGACAAATGCAGATGAAGGAAACTAGTGTAGCAGCAGCCATTGCATCAGTAGGCCTCAACATACACAAGGGAAAAGACAAAATCCCCAAACACAACATGAAAAACACCAACCCAATCACACTTAATGAAGCTCTGGAAGATGTGGAAACTTTCACGTACCTGGGTGGCATCATCAATAAACAAGGAGCATCTGATGCGGATATGGAGGCAAGGATTGACAAAGCAAGGGGTACATTCTTACAATTGAATAACATATGGAACTCAAAACAACTGTCAACCAATACAAAAGTCAGAATCTTCAATACGAACATCAAGTCAGCTCTACCGGACGGAGCTGAAACTTGGAGAACTACCAAAACCATGATCAAAAGGTACAAGTACTTCTAAACAATTGTTTACGTAAGATGCTGAATGTCCGTTAACCGGATACCATCAGCAACAGCCTCCTGTGCAAGAGAACAAACCAACTTCCAACTCAAGAGGAAATTAGCGAAAGACGCTGGAAGTGGAAAGAATGTACATTGCGGAAGTCATCAAACTGCATCATGAAGCAAGCGCCAACTTGAAATCCTGAAGGGAGGCGGAGAAGAGGAAGGCCAAAGAGCACACCGTGTCGGGAATCGGAAGCAGACATAACAAGAATGAATGGCAACTGAGAATTATTGCCCAGGACAGAATCTGATGGTGAATGCTGGTAGGCAGCGGCCTATGTTCCACCACGATGGCTAACAGGCGTAAGATTTGCAATAAGTGCTTCATTCATATGCGTCTATCACTTGTAAATTCTACTAATTATGAGTAGTGTAGTTCTATATTTCGGTTTGTGTGGGAGATTTTAATGTTGATTTAAGAGCCCAGAGTAGGATAAAGGTGAGTTTTTTTTACAGTTTATTTGTCTCTATCATATAGTTATGGGGTTAATTCATTATCCACATTGACTGGGAACCATACCATGGGACCTCCGAGATAAAAAGGAAAGATCTACATTGGTTGTAACCCAGTAAAAGATATTTTCAGATGTAATCCTTTGAGCCATGACATCAGTATGCGAATATGTTGTGTGTTGTTTTTTTTTATTATTTTTTTGGCTTTGGAATAAATGTGTCAGTAGTTCTACCAGGATGCTTTATGCTTCTTGTAAGGAGTGAGCTAAAAAGCAAAGCCTAGGCATTAGTAATTTTACGTCGAATTTCATTGTATCAAATTCACAGTATTCATTCAAAAGTACTCATAAGTTGCAATTCTCATGTTTTCGATTTTGCTTGTAAGAGGATCACTAGACTTATTTATCAGTTATTTATCGATAGATTTTGTTTATATATACTGTAAACAGTGTTATTGGTTTGTCGTTTTACGTTCATGGCCACCAGGGAACTTCGTTACCAGTTGGGTCTATGGTAGTAATTGTTATATTAAGCACAAAAATACTAAGAATTGTTCGGCGAAAAGAGACAAGTTGTTTTCAGGTTCCTGGTTCATTGATCATTTTATTGTCATCTTTTTTCGGGTACTTTGACACATCGTTACACATATTGCAATTTAGTTGTCGTGTTACTTTTTATTAGTAGTGCCTTTGATTGGTTACGCGAAACTGTACTGTGGAATTGTTTCTTACGGAAAACATCTTTTTAGAAGTTAACATGTTGAACATTCTGTAAATAAATACTTTAGCTCACTTGATGATATGCAACTATCTATTTCCGTTGTTGAAGATCTGTAGTTAGATTATGTAGGTTCCTCCTCAGTGCTTGAATAAATGTCGTATTCGTAAATATGAGGTTGAAGTGTTGGTCATAATTTACAATTATTTAGTATCGTTATTCTTAATCCCCGTAAACTTATTTTTAGATACAGTGTGAGAAAAGTAATTAGGAAATTTTAGTGAAAACTTGGTTTTACTACATATCTGCTAGTCTTCACTCAACATATACATTTTTCTTTACATAGAAATGTGTTCATCTTCTTCAAAAAGAGTGCCCAGCGTAAAGCGGCTTTTAAGATGTTCAAGAATGAAGTTATCATGGGTTATCCAATTTCCTGTCGATTATGGGGTACGAATGTAATTTAACTTGCTTTTTATTACAAAATTCTACTAAATAAAATACGTTTACAGCTACACGAAAGCGGTTATCACTTTGGTACAATGCCAGAAAATATATCACGTGGCATTACCATTTACGCCCATATAACTAAACTCCCTCCACTCATGGGGATGAGGAATTACGCAAACATGTTTATACGCGCTGATTCCTCGGCGAGTGAATGGCCTGCCAGTGGTAGATAGGGAGTGGAGTATTGTGATGTTGAGTCTTCTGGTTTGTGTTGGTTATTGGTGAAATGTCTTCTAGTGAGTGTGATCTTTGTATATGGATATGACGGTTTCCAAATGTTGATGCTATTGGCCTCATAATCCAAAAGCAAGCCGTCAGTATCCATCTTTTGTACTATCGCCATATAGTCTCGTCTCCAATTGCCATAACAGTGAGGGAAATGGCAAATACACAAATGTTTTAGCGATAAACTGTTAACATTTAATTCGCCAATTAGTGTGAACTTATATCGCTCGTCATGTATACACGTTACAATCACACTTAACATATGATGAACGAATTCATTCAGGATGGAGAGAAACAGCAAAAAAGTTTTTGGTCGAAGTAATTACACTTTCCCTAAATACATTACAAAGCCTTTTCTCAATTTAGAATGGGTACACCCCTTAGATTTTAAGGAAACAATTGGCTTGTTGGATTTGCTACTTGCCGAGGATTACATTGATACGTATGATTTTCTCATCTATTTGAAAAACATGTCCAAAAAATTATATCTCATTAACGCCTTTATGATAGAAGAGTTGACAACAGCAGGCAAAACCCTAATGCTGAAAATTATTACTAGCAATTACATTTCTGGCACCGTTCAAAAAAAGTGTGGCCATAGTTGATTCTTTTTATAGAGTCTGATGAAGAAGTCACTCGTGCGGGTGCCGCAAAGTTTAATCTGAATATTCTATTCTTGCTGGTTAAGTGATGTTCTTTAGGAAATGTAATTGATTGTCGAAGAGCTGTTAATGTCCCGACGTTTACGTTTTTTAAATAGAATTGTACTTCGTACATGGATTTTCTATTCTAAATAATTTTTCTATCTTTATTTTTCTTAGTATCATTGATTTTAGCGTTGTGTTATTTTCATTTAGCAACTTTGTGTCTTTATGTTGTCTCAAAATGTGAAAACCTGAATCAATCCGATTGCATATATGATCTCGAAAGAGCGTTGTGTTGACTTGATTTAGTCTTTTTAGCAAACTAAATTAACAACTCAACTAAGTCGAATGATGATGATATCCAGGATGACCGTTATATATGATCGCGCAACAATTGTCTGTTTTTCTGCTTGATAGTTGTTTAATAGCTCAAACTGAAACAAATTTGTGTTTTTTGGCACAGCTGAATTATAATTTGGAAATAACATGACCATAACAATGTCAAATATATATTCACTTGGTCTCAGAGTGAACATCAACTCTGAGATGCAGGTACATCCAGTTGAGGAGTCCCAAATAGGACGAAGACGCGCGTCCTGGATTCCACTGCTAGTCACTATCCATCTTTGCTTATAACGCTTGTGAATTAAGGCAGTTCCGAGGCAATACACACAGTATGCACATATGCCAATAAGAGACTGATCAACTGCAGTCCTTAACATCAATGGGAAGATTCAAGTAAACAATACCAAGTGAGTTTAAACTTCACCCTATTGCACAAGCAAGTGGCTATCAGGACTCAGTAGCTAAGTGGATAGCGCGATGGCGTTTGAAGCGAATGGTACTGGGTTCGAGTGCCAGAGTGAACATTAACTCTGAAATGCGGTCGAGTTTTCTATTTATTAAGCTGCTACTTTGCTGTTGGATGTTGTTACACATATTGAATATTTACTGACCAGTTAGTCATTTTATTTATTTTCACCTTCGACCTTATTTAGCAACATTTCACTGCCTAGCATGTGCATTAATTTAAAATATATTGTTATCACAGCTTAATTAAATTTTTCAAATTTCTACCCTTAGTTCCTACTAATCGAAGGCATAAATCACAAACAAAGAATATAGAGGAGAAAGTGAACGATACAGTTCTAAATTATAACTTACCCAAGTCAAGTAAGTAATGGGTTTTAATTCCTTCATTTACCGCCTTTATAAATAATTTTGACTCTGATGATACCAAGAGCATAAACTGTCAGAACTTCACTATAATGGATTAATTTTGATTTTAATTGAAATGTGAGAAACAAATCAGAATATTCCACAGCTTTCCAGGATTTCAACATTGTTTTTTTCATTTAATTCACTTCAAACCTGGTTCAACTGGACACCAAAAGTACGATGTGCTACACAGAATATAGAAATAGCATTCCGAAGAAAGAAGTGAGAAAAGAAGTATATCTCAGGAAAAGGAAATAAATGAGAAGGCCACGGTGTATAATTGGAAATAAGGTTCAGTTAACAGTGCAACAGAGAAAGATTTCTCTCAGTTAGAAGTTCCATCCATTATTATGAAGAATAACAAAGAAAGCTGCAATATGATATATATATATATATATCAAGAAGCATTCAGATTTTCGGTCTACTACAGGTGTAGATGTGATTTAATATTTGGTAGTAGGCGAGGACGTGATCAGTATGTCTACCTGCATGCTCCTCGTACCAATTTTTCACAAGTTTTGTACAGTCTGCAATGAATGACAGAAGCCAATAGTTTGGACCCTGTGGAAGTAGATTCGCTCCTCGATAATTGTAGGGTAGATGAATATGAGATAGTTGCTTGTTCGATAAATTTCCGAATAAATTCTTAAATATAGAATAGAAGAAAAAGCTATGGAAACTTTCATATATTTTTTGCTGCATCTTCAATAAACCTTAATAATTTCACTCGGATTTATTCGAACTCAATTATTATTTATTTATTTATTTGAATACATAGATATTGGTACAAGGGGACACCAGATACATATGCGCCACAAAAATCTCATTTGATTTGTGTGAGGGCTGTGATACTGCCCGGGTGCCCAAACCGAAGCAGGTGGTTTTCTTAGGGGACCACACCCGAAGCCTTTGACATATAGCTCTGATCTACAAGGCAGTGGAGCATCGTAAGGAGATGCAGTCCCATGGTAGTCGGTGATGACCAATAGTTGGTCCATACGCCATTTGTTCCCACAGGATACTGGAGCCCATTTGCACCATTGGTTTTAATCAGGGTTTTCCAACTCCCCTAGGTGGATCCTCTATATCCACCAACCCGGTTAAAGCACCGGACATTCGCTTTTCGTCCTCTCAATTTCGTAGACAACACCCGTGGTGCGAGAAGGCAGTGAGTAGGACTTCTGTGGCAGAGGCTATATACGCGTGGCCATATGAGAGCATTCGGAGAGGGAGAACGAACTCTTCCCACTCGGCTGTACCTGGGCATTTGAATTGATGTACAAAACTGGAAGATCAGTGATTAATTTGTGGTTTTCCTTTTAATCCTCTAGTAATAATTTGTTATGCGGAAAGTCATATACTGTTTATAGTGTTTTGTACGTCCATCGAACCAAGAAACACGTTTGCTGACCTCCAGTGAGTGTTGCTGTGTTCTATAAATAGAAAGGTAGTTAGAATAAAACCACTAGAACTTTCAATTTTGATGCCTACTGTTAGGAAAATTTGCCGAATATGTAGTCAAAAACAATCACTAGCCTTATTAAGAGCTCTTCATACTTAATCCACATTAAATTGAATTATATTACTACACAGGCCATCTACAAGGAGTAATAACTACCAGTCATAACGCAAATCATAGATCCCAAACAAAAATTCGAGGATTAAGGGAGGCGAAAAATTGGCAGCCAAATAGCAAACAGGCTTATTACTAATAATATGTGCAAATGGTCGATAACATTGATTTAGATATTCGTAGTGCATGTTTAACGCGTTTTATGATAATAATTGACTCAAGGTTAAATATCCTAAAAATACTTGATATTAATAGGTAAACGTCTACAAAACATAGTGCTGATTCAGTATTTCCTTCCATATGCCCTGATACCGTACTAACCGTAATCAAGCAGAGGATGTGGTAGGTTCGAAGGATTAAGATATCAGCTAGGACCGGCAAACGGGACGAAATTCAGCAACGCGACAATAGAACAAGCTAAGTTATTACACTGCGACCTATCTCTGTTGGCTAGAAGAGGACCAGATTCATCCGGGAAAATATATAACTCCACAAGCAGCCCGGAAGAATAAACGTCAAGCGCACGACTCACACGTATATATACAATACAAAAATGTCCTTGAAAACGTCACAAGATAGCATATTAAACGGGGAATCCAACGAATGATGTTTAAGGTCCTTCCAGGTAGTAAACACAAACCGAACGTAAAAGTGTATGTTTTTGGCGCGAGAACGAGAAATTCAAGTTCCCATAATGAAATTACAAAAATAATAAGTTCACCAATTGATTTCTGGAGATCTAGCATCTCCATAGTATGTAGCAATCTAGGAAAAACATAACTTTTGTCCATTTATAAATTAAAATTGCACAGGCAGAATAATTCAGGCTCATTAACTCAGCAACAATACCAATTGTCCAATAAGGTTATTTCGACTATGTATCGGCCTGATTCGAAATCAAAATCTCGTGGACCAGTAACTTAAAATAATCATATCGCTTATTTGGAGTGTAAATAAGTCCTTTGTGGACCCCCGGTGTGTATGTAAATACTCATTTTTAACAACTACGAATTTGTAGTAAGATTTTTTAAATTTAATATAACTACAGATGAACTCGGTCAGAATGAAATAAAATGGAATATGGAAAAATGTAGGAATATGTTTTCATCCTTTCCCAAGAAGTTAGTATTTGAATCTGGTAAGTTGTTAATATTTCTTGTCATTGGTTTTTAAAAATTATTCACAAATGTATAATCTTTAAGTATTGTAAATCACTGTCAAGTTAAAATTATTAAAAACATTTTTCCGGATGTTTTATGTAAACACGTTTTTTATCTGAACACTGAAATTTATTTGTATTGATGGCAACAGTAATTTCTGTCTATTTTAATGTAATGAGATCCGCAGTATCTTGTTCAATTGTGGTCATTTAATTAATAGGATCCTTTTTATTGATAATTCTTTTTTGGTAAGGAATGCATATCAATGCTCTGCTCTTTGAAGTACCATATTCCCTTTCCAATTAATGCTTTATATAGCTTTGGACACGGATTGATATTGTTTGCAACCACAATCCGAGATGAAATCGGACCCAAGACTTCTGCACATGGTGACCGGTGCGATACCTTCAAACTAATTAAATAAAAATCTAGTATATCTCACTTTCCGTTTTTATTAAATGGTCATTTGGTGTGATAGTCATTCCCCGGTTAGTAACTGTTCTGCTCCTGAAATAATTGTCACCTCGTTAAAAACTATGGGATTTGATCCGTGAATACTGTTTAAGTATTGGATTTGTGTAAGTTTGTGCACTACCGAATAACCTCTACAAAGTGTTACGTTTGTTGAGTGTTATTTTGTTCTTCATAATTCTATGGTTGATATCCGCTTATGATGACAAATGTCTTAATATTATTGTTTTTAATTTCAGATGGTGAATAAACAGTGGAGACAGGATTTTTTCCAACACCTGTTTTACGGACGATTATAGTAGCGATACACTGAGGAAATTATACTAGTTAGAGTAAAGAACAACCTGATTATTTGTACAAAGTCACTTTGATTTAACAAAGATAATTTTGAAAACCTTACGTATTTACTTTGACTTACCAAAGTATTCTCATCATTCTCATTAATATTAGCTAACGGAAGTTCCGTCATCCTAGAATACTTTTTTCCTTATCTACATCTTAGTTTCGTGTGCTTGCACAATTGTACTAAGTATATTTAACCCTCACTTGGCTCACTGACGAGTACCTGTCATTTGTGAATGCACGGATTGGTCAGAATGCATGGCCACCAAACGATTTATAAGATGCAATGCTTATGGAGAAGCTAAAATGCAAGGTTTCAGTCTGCATTCTAGTGAGAGCTGATAACTCAGTGTGTTATTGCTAGTACTTTTATAGGGGGTTCATTTGTGGAAAATGTGTAACCTTTTACTGATACGTTTACGTGCTGATTTCGTAATAACCAGGATTCTCATTTCAAACACCGGACAAAGAAACCTTACTCCGTTCCATGGTTTGTCCGTGTAAGAAAATCAATACATTTGTAGATTTATATGACTACCAGCTCCTGGGAACTGTTCGTTCTGTTGATTTCAGATCTTTTGAAGGGTCCTGAAGAACAATGACTAGTCCTACGGTTTTCGTGGTTTCTGAATACTTCGGGGGTATAATCGGTGATTTATGGTACCTTCCATATTTAGTGTTTCCGAGGAGATTTAACAACATTTTGGTTACTATGCATGAAACACGAACGGTCGATCATTAGTCAACAATGAAAGTGCCTCAGGGTTCCCACTTATTATAGAGAGCTTGACACTTGAGTTATCATAGAATACTTGTCTTTTCCATCAGTACGGCTTTTGTAAACGGAAGTTGCTTTGCTCATAAATTGTTCGTCCACTGACCAATCCCTGCATACTGCATCCAGATGTCCCCCTGTCTACTTGCGTAGATGTACGCGTTGATGATGAGAATTAGACAAATATGATTACTCCCCAAGGGTTTTTAACAAGTTCCAAATGCGTCTTCATGACTTATCCTCTGTATTTCTTGGGATCCAGTATTCGCTGTAGCTCTTGTGTTATGTGGTACAAAGTTCTCGCAAGAGTATTTTGGTTCTTCTGGTATCACTGAGTTTATCTATATCAACATGGAGTAAGTCATACCTTCTGAACAGTAAGTTCGATGTAATACCAGACGACGAAGAATGAAGTACCTGTGATTTAACTATCTACCTAGAAATTTGAGGCGGTACTTACGGTCATTCTTGTTTCACAAATGTTTTCGGTATTTATAAACTGGCATGGGAAGTAAGCTAACTAATTCCAACCAAATATTAACGGGATATTTAGGGATCCTGTTTGAAGAGCTTCGAAACTGAAATCATTGAAGATAAAAGTAAACAACGAAAATGTTTCAGTCACGATGTTCTGTACTTTTTGATAATGCTTAGTTCATCGGATGAAAAGACACCGAGCCTCAGTCGAATCGACCTGTTATGTTGAATGACCACAACATTGGGGAACTGCTCACTTGATGTTGAGTTATGTTTCACCATCGGTTGAGGTCGAAATTAGACAATTTATCAATACACGACTGCCTGTCTATGACTCATAATTATAGCATTTCTGCGGCCTATCTTTATAAATACACTTCCATTCTTGTGGGATTTCAGTACGATATTACAGTCACCAGGTTAATGTGAGAAGTAATTATTTAGTGAAGTTTTAGAGCAGGTGTCAACAATAAACCTTAACGAAATGACCCGCTAAACTGGTGGTATCGCTATTTTGGGAGGTCGAAAGCTAGGCGTAAGATAATATGTCTACACTTGTCAGTCCCAGTATTGATGTAGTTCTACGGTGGAGTCGAAACATTCAATATTATGTTCTTACTATGTTTGCTGGCATTTGTTATTCTTCGCATGCATATCTGATGAGACTTCATATGTTTTTTGAGGACATTGAAGAAACTGGACTTCCTGGCCATCATGTTCGGGTGGATTAGAATGTTACCAGGAATTACATCCGAAGTTATTGACTTTACGTTTTAAAAAGGCACAGCGTAGAAAAATCTCATTATACACCATGGTATACATTTCCGCACCTTTTTTCTGATTAAAAGCGAGAAAAATATATAGTGTTTCGTGTATATTCATGTGATTATTTATTAGTTTTTCTATCCGCATACATTTTCGACATAGATGTTACTATTGGCGTGCTAACCTACATTATACATTAAAGCTCTGAACTATGCAAACCCACTAATCTCTTCTTACAGTGGTTTATTCTTTCATCAATACACTTGTGAGATTTAGAAGGAAGATGATGTTGCTAGAGTAATAAACTTTACTTAAGTTTTTGAACTTTCCATCGTGTAACTACCTAATCTACAAGAGCTTACGTCATAGCTTCACTATTGTCTTTGCTGACTCCCTCCTTTATTATACTAAGTGTCCTTGCTTACTGATGGAATAGGATGATATGCACAACTACGATGAGTTAAAGAGTGGTCGTGAGGCCGTCGAAATGTCACTCTGATCATTGCATGTCTAACAGTTTCGTGAACACCGTCAAGTTCAAGGGAAGACAGCGCCAACCACTAAGTTTCCACATCATGAACAGACAAATTCGCGGTGTTCCCACTCTGTTTATTATTATTTTTGCGTTATACGTTCATCCAAGTATCCACAACACCTCAATACAAAAAAAGGTATTTGAAGTTAAGCAATAATCCCGAGGTTTGACATCAATATAAGCTGAGAGGTAATGACATTCCTGTCCAACGCAAGCAGTGTCTCAAACAAAGATACAGTTCACGTCGGACTCACCAGTGTTGATTACCAAAGCAAGTGATTTATATCGCTGATTGCGGTGATATTTGCGTTGAACAGGAATGGCATTCTTTCTCAGCTTACCATGATGACGAATGGAAAATGTTCGAGGTATTGTGATCACTACCTCATGACTAAGCCGGCACGACCGAGACACGAACCTGTTTCCACGATGAACCTCATCGAAGTTCAACTATTTGTCAAATACTCAACGGCCCATTTAAATCTATGAAGTTATGGTCTACTGAATTTGAAGTATGGTTTGTAGAATTATTGTTCAGTTCGTTTTTAGTACTACTACAAAAATAGACCTAATCCCAACATTGTAGATATATCATGGTGTGATTACCTAATCTATAAGATCTTACGTGGAAGTCACATAATTACCTACACTGACTCCTCTTATCGCAACAATCAGCAATATGATGTTTGGTGTTTATAAAGAACATATTTAGGTTGGAGATAAAACAATATATTTAGCATGAATAGAAAAGATACGTTACAAAAGACTGATCACGCCTGCAAGACTCAACCATACCATCCGGTTTAATCTCGAATGAGTGTTCCCGCGCTCATTATTATTGACCTTTTCTTAGCGTTATATGTTGAGAGCTTACTTAACCAGTTATCTCATGTTAAGGTATGAGGATTGTGTGGTTAGGGCCAATACCATTACAGGTTCACTATGTAGCATGGTCATTACGCACTCCTATACGATTGATCGTCACCTCACTCCACAAACGTTATGACTGATTCCTAAAGCAATCCACTTATCAAAACACTTGATCAACGCACAACCAGCACGTTACACAATTCGTAATTCCTTTACAATCATGAACTTTACGAGTGTGATCTACTAACTCAGACTGAAATATGTTTTCTGAAACAGTTTGTATAACACCAGTGTTTAGTCATCATACAAACCTAAAAAATCTTTTACATTACTCCACAAAAATGTGAGATTAGTATTGATCAAAAACAGCAAAAGTTCGATTCTTTTACAAAAGTACTGAGGCAGGCGTGTATTTTTGAGTGGGTAGATCCTGACACGGTTCCATTTTCATAACTTTGAACTGGGATACAAAAAATGACACACCTCAGGCATTTCTGTACCCGAGGAGTTCGATGGCTCCTCTGACTTGCCGGAATATGGTTAAAGATGGAAATATGTAAAATAACTGTCTGGTTAAAACGCATCAAAGGTGAAACCTAACATTTAATGTCTGTCATTGTAGTTTAGTTCTTAAAAATCGTGATGATCAGAGGTAGTCGAATTCGGTATGCTAACTAGTAATTTACACAAATGTCAGAATCGTATCCTTGTAGTCATCAATGGATCATTATTTTAGACGGAGAGAATTTCATGTACCGAATATTGGTATGGGTGAGAAGATAATACCAGGTTAAATCTGCCTATTCAACCTTGAGTGGCTTTGTTCAAGGTGGGCGTTCCATATTTGAAGTGCTCACTGTTGGTTAAGCTTATGTTAACTTCTACGAATTCGTAGTGTTCAAACAATTAAGTCTGAAAACCTAAAACAAATGCGTTTAAAATAACTGTGTGTTATCATTCTTCTTCAGTACAAACACTGCTCTTGTTTCCGGGTTCAAATGGTTCAAATGGTTCAAATGGTTGTGGACGGAATAGAAGAAGCTTTCGCTTAACAGGCTTCCGTGTCTAGTAGCAGGGGATCACCAAATCCTCCAGGCAGGAACCTAGGTATGTTAACAATAAAAGAGGAAAAGAAATTGGTAAATCATAGTGCGATGCTGTCCTTGGTCCTTAAGAATAGGTCAAGTTGCCTCTTGAAGGACTCCTGAGAAGTCGCTTGGACTAGCTCGGCCGGCAGCGAGTTCCAGCTTTTGACAACTCTTAAGGAGTAGAAGTTGTGTCTACATTCCGTCTTGCTATGTTGTGTTTCCAGTTTCTGGGTGTTACCCCTTAGGTTATTGTTCGAACTAAGCTTAAGTAGGTGTTTAAGAGGATGTCCAGAAGTGTTAAGAATACTATAAGCCATTAATAAATCACCTCTAAGACGCCTATATTCTAGTGGGTAAAGGTCTAGTGAACGGAGGCGTTCTTCGTAAGGCTTAGATTT